GGTGTATCTCTATAAACATACTGATAAGCAGTGAAGATTAGATGATTAAATTTTGTTTTAGTTTCACCTATAATTTTTATAATTAAGATTCAAATCAGCTTCACATTTCTACTTGAATAAACTTTCAGATGCAACAAAACTAAACATATTACAATCTGAATCCATCTTCTCCAGTAACCCATACACGAATTTTCAGAGTGATTTTTCATTCTTCCTTTGTTTTTAGCTCCACCCCAACCAATTAGCTGCTCTGAAGTTATGTTCTTCTTCAAGACATTAACCAGTATCTCCAATTATGTTTATTTTCACCAGTATGTTGTAGAGAAGTAGGGAGCCCCAGTCTCTTTATGTTTGCACTATTCAAAAAAGCTGTCTTCTCTGGGGTTGGGGTTGTGGCTCAGTGGTAGAGTGCTCCCCTAGCATTTGTGAGGCCCAAGGTTCGATCCTCAGCACCACATAAAAATAAATAAAGGTATTCTGCCAACTACAACTAAAAAATAATATTAAAAAAAGTACTTATGTGGTATTTAAAAAAAAAAAAGCCTGTCTTCCTGCCACCAGATTCTTTTTCTATAATCCTTATATACCATGACACTACCAGGTAAATACTTGTAAAAACTCCTTTAATTATGTCACTCTTTTCTTTAAAAGCCTTCAATGACACCTTGTTAGTCCAAAGTTTGAAATGCCCTCCCACATCCCTAGTACCTATAGAAATTTCCCCCATTCTCTGAAGGATAGTTTGAATTGCCATGCTTTTTTTTTTTTTTTTTTCCCCATGCCTTTTAAAACAAGGATCTTCCATCCCTATTCTATTCTACATCTCATAGATGGCATCATCCAAATACCACAGACCACATACTACCTGAGACATTTGTCTTACATGTGCCCTACTAGATAGTAAGTTCTTTGGGGTTATAGGTCATATCATAAACTATTTTACACAGCTCCCAGCTCTACTATGGGCCTGTAGGTTCTAAGACTACAACTTAAACTGGAAAGCAACTAACCATAATGCAATATTAGGCAAGTTTTAGAACATTTTCAACATCTGGGTTTACAAAGGTGAGTATATATAAATATACATATACATGTGTATATATGAAATAAAGGCCAGAGGGACTATCTAATTTTATCAGGAGAAAAAATAATCCAGGCACCAAGCAAAAGAAACCTTGAAGATGATCCTATCTGCTCATAAAGAGACTTACATTGGACTACAAAGTAAGTCAAAAGATGCCAGGAATAGAAAATGTACCTTAGCAGGAGAATTTCATGTTTTGAGGTCAGCCTCAGCAACTTAGTGAGTCCCTGATTCAAAATAAAATAGAAAGTGATGGGAATGTTGCTTGGTGGTTCAAACCCCAGTACAAACAAGAAAGAAAAAAAAAAAGTGTGCCCTAGTTTATTTATATCAGTACAAAGCTTAAGTAAACAATATCCCAAAGTTGGAGCCAAGGAGTGTATTTTTTTTGCAAGTATGTTCAGACATTTCCTGAAAAATCTCCATATCCTCTAGGAAAAAAAAAATCCACAATTACTTTTCCAGACACAAATGGTATAACAATAGTTAATGGTTCTCAAATACTATTAAAAAGGGTGTGGGTATATTCTCTACATAAATCCTTTTTGCATTCAGATAAAAAACTGATCATAGGTCAAATTTTATGAAGCTTTAGAGAAAAATACTGGCTAATACAGTGCAAAGAATTCATTCATATGGAAAAGTCCAGTATAAACTAGAGTCATACTTATGTCATTGTTGGCTATTTGTAACACATCCCATGGAACTGTTTTATTTCATAATTAAATATGGGGGGGTTAATAAAGATTCAAAAATTCATTATTATAAACAAAATAGAGACATTTTTGTTTCAAAAGAAGTTTATTTTATGGAAGACTTAAATACAAGCTTTCTTAAATAATAGTTTTCCATGCCTATAACAATGATTTGCTTTTTGAACACCTTTTTTAGGTATAAATCTTTGATATAAATTCAGTTGTACTATATTTTTTTAGGATATTATTCAATAAGCTTTTAGAAAATGTAGGGTGACCATTTTGATATAACACAGAAATAAAAACGAAGCAACAATGTCCATATTTGTGCTGAAATTAAAAAATCCTTCATTGTACGTTACGTTCACCTTTTCTGGTGCTATTTAGTATATTAATACAAGATGTAGCTGAATTAAACTTGGTTCTTGCACGTCCAACCTCTCCTTATTCCTTAACAACTAACTTATTCCTTAACAACTATGTATGAACTGCTGGTATAACTTAAATTAAGAGTATTCTAGCCACTGATGTATCTCCATATTAATTCAGAGAATATTGAGAATTACTCAGCCTATACAATAGGCAGAGCATTAAAGAAGTACTGTGAGAGATAAAATGTTTATACTATACTAAGTCTATCTACCACTATTCGGTTTCTCTGCATTATTACTTGTACTCTTGTAGTTAAGATATGAAAATACAAAAAAAAATTAAAATCAAAGTATTCAATCTCATAAAACACATTACAACTGTCAAGACTGGCACAACGATAATGCCAAGGGAGATAGAGGTAATCTCTACCTTCAAAAGAGATTGACTTGAGCTAGACATGGAATAATGATGGACTTAGAGGACAGCCTCAGAAGGCAATTTAGGTAAGGGTAAGACCTAAGACAAATATCCTTAGGGCCATACTGGAAAATTTCTGTACAGGAATAGCAGGAGAAAAGATTAGAAAGTTAAACTATAGCCAGGTTATAAAACATTGAAACTAGTCTTAAAAGTCTGGACTTCATTATGAGTAACAGTGGTTTCTGGGATTGAGTGTATGCAAGAACTGCCTGGGAGGTGGGAGATTGGTGACTGACTAGACACATTTTTGACTCTTGAGATTCTTCCTGTCCTTTACCATGCAGTACTGGGGATTGAACCAGTAAAGCACCAGGGGTGCTTTACCTCTGAGCTACATCCTCAGCCCCCTTTTTTATTTTGAGACATGGTCTTGTTAAGTTGCCAAAGTGGCTTTGAATTTATGATCTTCCTGCCTCAGTCTCCTGAGTTGCTGGGTATTATGGTTTGGATATGAGGTGTCTCCCCAAAACTCATGTGTGAAACAATGCAAGAACATTCAGAGGTGAAATGATTGGGTTATGAGGGCTTTAACCCAATCAGTGAATTAATCCCCTGATAGGGATTAGCTAAATGTTAACTGAGGGTGGGCCTACAGTGTGGTTGAAAGAGATGGGCCATTGGAGGCATGCCTTTCAGGTATACATTTGGTGAACAGAGCTTAGTCTCTGCTTCTTGATTATGGTGTGTGCAGCTTCCCTTTGTCACACCCTTCTGCCATGAGTCCCAAAGAATGGAGTCAGCCACCTATGGACTGAGATGGCTGAAAACCTTTATTCCCAAAATAAACAACAACAAAAAAACTTGTCACTGTTTACACCCTGCAAATACCTTTACTTAACAATGCATTTTTCTTGCTCTTTCTCTGCCTCTCTGATATCTCTAGAATCTCCAATCACCTCTCATACTTTGCCCTTTTTAAATGTTATTTCTCAAGATTCTAACTTTGGTTTTCTATAGTTCTGAGTGATTGCACTGGGAGCCTTGATACCAACCTTAGAAGTTTAATCTTTGTCCTCATGATAAAGAAGAGTTATGAAAGTTTCTAAGCATTAGAATATTACAGACATGTTCTAAGAACACTTCCTTGGAGACAGTCTATAGAAAAGAGTTAGAGATAGGAGCAATAGGAGGGAAAATTAATAGGGAGACTATCAACATAAAGACATTTTAAACTAGGCGTGGTGGCACACCCCAGTAATCCTGTAATCCCAGTGGTTTGGGAGACTGAGGCAGGAGGCTCGAGATTTCAAGGCCAGCCTCAGCAATTTAGCAAGGCTCTAAGTAACTCAGCGAAACCCTGTCTTTAAATATGAGAGACAATAAGCCTTCCCAAAGGTCAATTTCAACTTTAGCAAGTTTCATTACAAGAAAGATTAAAAGAAGGAAATTATTCCTCCCTATTTTGTGACCTTGGGAACATTATTTAATGAGGAGTGCTATCCTCATTACAGATATACCCTGAAGATAAAATAAGAAACATATTGAAGGTTTTTGAGCACCTCGAGTCAGAAGAGCTACAGAGAGCCAAGGCGAAGTTATTTTCATATGCCTTTTCCCTCTTGTTGTAGCCTCCCTGCAAATGAAGGAAAGCTGAACATCACCTTGTGCTTAATAACTCTTTGTGTACTTGAAATTGCTATTCTCCACAAGTGTCTCAATCAAGTTTTTAAAAGAGAATTGCTTGGACTATAAAATAGCAATCTAGGGCTGTGAGTCAGCATTTTACCTAGACATACAATCAAAATGATTTAAAATAGGTAATACAATCTTTTGGCAAGACATATACATCTCCTTGGAGAAGCTTTTCAGAAAATTGGAGTTTGCAAGTTTATGAATAGTTTATTACATTTCAATAAGTGTATTGTGAATCAATAAAGTAAAAGTTAAGGACAATGAGTTCATTATCAAGCCAGTTATTGATTCTCAAGTTCCAAAATAGAATAGTACAGGAAGGGTAGAGAGAAAATGGGATATTGTGTAATAATTAGAAATTTTAAGTATATTAGGAACAAAAACCAACGGAAATTATCACATAAAGGAATTTTTAGTGGCTACTTAAGATGTTTAAGTTAATTTCTTCATCTTTTTGGTAATCAGAAATATTTAATTTTCACTGTTAAATAACATCTTTTAAATCAGGTCATAGAAATATGCAAAAACCATTTATTACCTATTTTTAAAATTTTTATTTTTTTTACATGAGCTCTCATTATTATTATTATTTGCATTACAATTCTTACCTTTTACAGACTCATTTCTTCTAAGAGTTTCTCATGTATTTTCCTTTGAAAAGTTTACTGTGTTAGCTGTTATCTTACATCATTGTCATAGTCAGCGTGAGGTGCCATAACAAAATATCATAGGCTGAGTGACTTAAACAATAAAAATTTTATTTTCTCACAGCTCTACAGGCTAGAAATTCAAGATCAAGGTAACAGCATGATCAGTTCTGATGAGGGCTCTCTTCCTAGCTTTGTATATGTCTTGTGGTCATCTAAAAGACATATACATCTCCTTGGAGAAACTTTTACTACATCTTCACATGGTGAGAGTATAGAGAGGTAGTTCTCTGGTGTTTCTTTAAAGACACTAATCCCATCATGAGGGTCCCACCCCCCAAGTCCTCATCTTAACTCTAGTTACCTTCCAAAGGCCTCATCTCCAAATATTATCACAGTGGGGATTAGTGGTTTAACATATAAATTTTGGGGGAGGGCACAAATATTTAGTATATTAACATTTACTAACAGAAAAATTGACAATGGTTCCAAATCATTAAATCAATACAAAACTGATTAAAAACAACCAATCCATACAAGTCAACTAAAAACAACTTCCTGAGAAAGCTTCCCTTTTTCTTCCTTGTATAGCAATCTAATTCAACAAGAAAGGAAATTCCTAAAAAAATTTATGAACTCAGTAATTTAAACCAAAGATAGAAACTGAGACATACATGGTTTTGGTGAACACTGAAAAACAGAGCATTAATCTCTCGTTGTGAATATGTTTAATAAAAACAACTATGAATGTTTTATACCTGATTCCTATATCAACTAAATATTTTTTTTGCTTAAAAAAATTTTTATTGACACATAACAATTGTACATATTTATGAGGTACTAAAGATTATTAAAATAATCTAAAGCATTTAGATGTCCTTGGAAAGTAATATAATGTACAATAACATTTCTACATTACATTTTCATAGATATTATTAAAAGGAATAGTAAGTTACATATTATTTCATTCAAAATATAGAAAACTGAGCTGGGAAGATAGCTCAGTGGCACAACATGTGGTCTGCATGTGCAAGGCCCTGGCTTTGATCCCTAGCACCACACACACAAAAAAAGAAAACTGAAATAGTGAAACAAAATCGACAAAGTTATAATTGGTTTGTGTTGGATTTCACCTCAACTTTCATACAATGACTTTTACTTTTAGTACATAGTACATAAATTTGAGGGTATAAGAAATGTGTTTTTCTTAATTGTACACATTACTTCATTACAAAATAAAATGTATATAATCTTTAAAGTATGGTTTAAAAGGCTTCTTTAATGATCATCAAGTGAATAAACAAGGATTTTTCAAATACTTGAGTGGAAGGATGGTAGAAAACAGGATAGAGTGACTGAGCTCTAGAGTTTAGGTGACTTGACAAGGTCATCTGATTAGCATGTTGCAATTATTTACGGGACCCAAGATTTTCTTATCTGAAAATGCTATACATTAGTATATTCAAGAGACAAAGGGGCAAAAAATCTAATTATAGTCCAGGTCATTTTATACCACAAAATAGCTGTAGGAACTAACTTTTAATTTCTCAAAACTCAATTAGGTGTGTGTATGGTCCATTGGTATCCAGCTTTAATACCTGCCTATTCCCATAAGTGCCATGTTCCACTACAACCCCAGCTTCAGCGCACTTACTGTTTGCAGCTAATTCTTTTTCACAGAGAGATACAAATAGGGAATAAAGTTCTAACCCTTCTTCTTTTCCACAGTTGGAGTGATACTGCATATTTCTTCCTTTTACTCTACCACCAAGGGTGGCTTGAGGGATGATAAGAATGTCTCCAGGTAGATCCAGTACAGAGACGTGCTTGCCATTTTCTGTCTCACTTAATTTCACATTTAATAGTGTATTAACTAGATGGGGAAGAAAGGCAAAACAATTTGAAGTGAAAAACAAACATGAAGAAGAAACATCAGTCTTTTAGTTAGCAAATCTCATGTTGAAAACCCAGTTTGTTAGCTCTTGCTCCTAAACCACTCTCTAAATTTTAAAAAGTGCTTCACTAAACTAAATGAGCATGAAAAATAAAGCAAATTTCATGGAGAAAACTGCATGATGTTTAAAATTTGACTTGACAGCTAAGATTATCTAACAATAAGTCATCTAGAAAGTTCAAGAATTAACTGTAAAATGAAACCTTAAATATTGTTGTCTCAGGGGAATACATGGCAAGATTTTATCTTCCTGTTCCTTTTATTTCATAAGCAAATCCCACTGGAAAAGAACATTATAAATCCTTCTCAGAAAATTCTGCTCTGTAACAAAATTAAAATTTTAGTACACTGGGGCTGGAGTTGTAGCTCAGTGGTATAGCACCTGTCTAGCACATGTGAGGCACTAGGTTTGATCTTTAGCACTATATAAAAATACATATATAAAGGTATTTGTGTCCATCTACAATTAAAAAATATTCTACTTTAAACTTTAAATTACCTAGAGTTTTAAGATATGACAAAGCTTCCAGGTTCAATCTCATTACAAAAAAGCTGATTTTATAGTTTCATAACCTTAAAGGCACAATTAACATAGACTAACCATTTTATAAATATAACCCATGGGAGAAACACAGGTGAAATTCATTGTCAGAAATGAAAAAGTAACTCAAAGATATGGCTACTAGCATTATCTTTGTATACATACAATAAAACAGCGATATTTTATAGCATTTATGAGACTATAGCTAATAAGTGTCAAAACCACTATAAATATCTAAGTGTAGCTAAACCCTACAGTTAGAAAACCTTTACACCTCAACATTAACCATTTTCAAAACAATAAATAAGTGTCTAAAATAGACTCAGTATCTCCCTACTTCTATAAAGGTATAAATGAATTCTGCTTGCAAAGAAAAGTTCTAAGACAACAAATGATAAAAGAAACCTTACATTCCTGCCCTCAAATCAGATTTTAAAAGGTATGCTTCCAGTTTTGAGTAGTCAGTGATTTTGATTATAGGAGGATTTATAGGAAACATTAGTAAGGAGTTGGTATGGTGACCCCACTCTAAACATTATAAAATAAAACCTTGTAAAAAACTGCCAAGGTAAACACGCAAAGAAATTCCCAAGCTATGCTTTAAGCACCTTCAATTTTCACTTAACAATCACTTATTTTTAAATGCCTTTAATTTTGTCTATTACAAATCGAACTTTACTATATAGCCAGCAATCCTATTGACCGCTTCTAAGGAAACTATAACTATCCAGAGCACTTCTTTCCAATGAAAATCACTATCCAGCTATGCAGGCCTCTGGCTACGGAGAGACTAAGTAGTCAATTTTGGAATAACAGGCAATGGGATGTAATATAATTTATTACACTTCCCCACACCTCCCTCTACTGGTTATTACTGGGAATTCAATGCTGAAGGTATACAAATATGTATATATAAGTACAATACAAATGCAAATATAAGTAAGTAGAATTAAAATGAGACAATGTATTAAATGCATGTTGGAAACTCAAAGATCCTAAGACAGGTTATCAATCAAGTATCTTCAATGATGTATATAGGAATCAAGCTTTGACAGATCCCTGGATCTCAGTTCAATTATATTAAAGATGAATTGAAGATGATTCTACACATCTCTATATTGGATATGCTATTTCAGATTTTAGGATATAACTAGTTATGTTCCCATGGGATGAAATATTAGATTGGAAAGATCTGAATCTATGTAATAAATATGAGGTGGGATTTAAGAGAATCCCAAAACATTGGCTTACTATGCCTCCTGGAATACAGGGAAATACAAACTAATGCTATCAATATGGATGCATTTATTTTCCCTGTAACTCAGACCATCAGAATGAGAGTCATACAGCTCTTTACTGTAAATCATGAAGTTTTGTGTTAGATTATTCACTAAAAGAGTCAAGGCAGGCCTCCTAAGCATTTTTAATTCACCACAATCTTATACATGTATTTAAAGTGCACTCACAATTATAGACACAGACAGAAGCACATAGGATTTAATCATTATAAAACAAAACAGAGCTTGAATTTGGTGGGCTTAATTTGTGCTGTTATGATAAAGATCTATTTACAACTCTATGAGAGGGGCTGGAGACGTAGCTCAGTGGTAGAGTGTTTACCTAGCACGTACAAGGCCCCCTGGTTCAATCTCCACTACTGGAAAAAAAGCGAAACAAAACAAAACAAAAATCCCCAAAACATCTCTATGAAACAACTTTAGAAAGTTAGCTTTAAGTCAGAACGACAAAATATTTTCTCATTTTCTTCTTAAACCCTTCGAAATTTCCTTATTATCCTCTGGATTCAAATTTCAAACTTAAAAGTTACTAGCTTTCCATCTCACTCATCACAGTCCCTTCTTCTTTTTTTTTTATTTTAATTGTTGATGGACACAATAACTTTATTTTATCTATTTTTTTAAAATGTGGTGCTGAGGATCAAACCCAGTGCCTCAGGCATGCAAGACACGTGCCCTACCACTGAGCCACAACCCCAGCCCTCATCACAGTCCCTTCTTAAGCATAGTTTCATGCTTTGACATAGTTGTCAAACATGTTTGATCTATGAATATAAAATTCCCTTCATTAGCTTGACTTTTTGTCAAGCTATTTGTCCTTGAGTTCTATTATGTGAACCTCTTCTAGATTAACTTCTGCAAGCTTCAACTACTCATTTGTGTAATTTCATTTTTTCTTTCTTTTTTTTTTTTTTTTTAAAGCTTGAGACAGGCTCTTGCTATGTTGCCTAGGCTGATCTCAAACGTCTAGACTCAAGCAATCCTACTGAGCAGCTGGAACTACAGGTACATGCCACTGTGTTCAGCTTATACTTACTAATCCAAATAATGGGTGCTGTCCCTCAATCTTCGGAATAGCTCCATTATTTCATATCTATGAAGTACACACAAACACACACACACGCATATTTGTTAGAACTGTATTTGAGACATGCTGCATTGAGACAGCATGTTAGTTGATTTGGTACATCTGAACCTATATAATTATCATAAGGAATGTGCAGTGCTATGAATTATCCAGGATTTTTAAAAGTTGCAGGCAAAATTTTTCAGAGGTCCTTAAACATTTATTCTGCTTTCTATGGAGCCAGAGGAGGTGTGGCTGAGATAACATTGAATTCGGTTCAAGAACCAGAAGAACTGTATTTAAACATATTCCTACAAAGAAGTAAATGATCAATGTAAGTTCTTTGATAACAATGATGTAAATCTGAACTGTCCAGGTTTGATGGGACTCATCCTGTGTATACAGTGTCATACACTGCTTGTTATGGACTCTTCTGTTATCTGGGGATAATGGAAACTATATTAAGAAACACAGCATCTGTTTCTCCCTATGTGGCCACCCTGCTTCTAACAACTTTCTGTATCCTTGGCTGAACTGTGTGTCTACTCTTCTAAATCAACCTATAAGCCATCTGAAATGTTGTAGATGTTTTAAAAGAATTCTACCATACATGCACACTTTAAATTTTGCAACAGGCAAAAAAATAAGCCAACAATACTACACAGAGTTGAATAATAACATATATTAGGACAAATAAGATTGTGCTTCTTGGTTGGGGATGTAGCTCAGTGGTAGTGCTTTCTCAGCATGTGCAAGGCCCTGGGTTCAATCCCCATCACCAGGGGGAAAATAATTGTGCTTCTCTCTCTCTTTTTTTTTTTTTTTGGTCTATTGCTGTTCTTTCTCCATCTTCAAAAAAAGAAAAAAACATCAAACACATACCCATTTTTGGAAGAAGTTCTTTATCAGCTCCCTTGAAGAAGCACACATAGATCACTAATCCTCTCTGAACCTATAAGAAATCATCACAGAAAGCTCAGATTAGAAAGAAGTCTATACAGAGCTGTAGAGGTAAGTGAATAAAATTTTATAACTGTTACAAACTTGGAGGTTCAAATCAAAGAAAAGAAAGAAGACTTACAATAGATTTGATTTCTAAATGAATATATGAGAAAATGAAATATTTTAAAGTTTCAATCAAAATTATTTTTCAAAAAATTACACTTAAAATACAACCAACAGGGTTGGAGTTGTGGCTCAGTGGTGGAGCACTTACAGGTGCTACGGGTTTGATTCTCAGCACCACATAAAAATAATAAATAAAATAAAGGCATTGTGTTCATCTATAACTAAAAATATTTTTTAAAAATACTACCAACAACAATTTACCTCTACTAAAATCAATAGGACTTTCAGACAGCCTCCTCCCTAGTAAGTAAGGATGACAAACTTAAGAAATATTTATATAGCAGGGCCCATTTATTCAACACCAAATGAATTCATACTCTATCAGATAGGAGATAAATAAGCAACAGTGTAACTGATGTCTTTTTATATCATCCTCTTTATTCCCCCTAATGCGCTTACTTGTATAGTGAAAACAAGGTATAAATTCCAGGAAACCCTGATTATTTTTTGTTATTGTTGTTATTGCTTTAAATATAATTATTAACATTTGTTAATAACTTCTACATGACAAGGTTGGTTGTTATCAGGAGTATAAAAAATAGCTCTTGTAAGAGACCATAAGAAAGAATAATTTTGATTCTGCTGCTGAGTTAACTGTTCAACTTTTGATTCTATGTATTAACTTAATTGATTAAGGAGCCTCATTGACTCTAGAAGTTATTATGGAGATTAAATGAGTTAATATTTGTAAAGTGCTTAACACAGTGCCAGGTTCATAGTAAATACTACCTGTTTATTATGAGAATATATAAATAAATTTAAAGGCAAACACACAATTTATTTAACATTTTAACTTCCAAAGCACTTTACAGATAGGACTGTTTTATACAGGACTCAATTTATCTGTTAATTGTATTAACATTCAACTGTATCTTCTGGGCTCTATGTGTTATCTAAATGGTTTTCTATGTAAATATAAATGCAGCTCTGCAATCATACTTGATTTACCGGAAAAGGAGTCATTTTAAAAAAATGCAAATGTGCCCCTGGATCAAAAGCAAGAGCCTCCCATGAATACCCATAATGATGGGCTGGCAAGCTACACTACTATCACAAGCCTTTTCACTGAGCCCAAATCTTTAGCATTCACAGCTGTACACTTGCAATGTCAGAATTAAGCACCTAATAATTCCCAGAAACAGATATCTGGTTCTTTCCAGTAACCAAATTACCTCCTCATTATTTTCTTTTTGTTTATTCCAATAATAGGTCTGAAGTTATAATATATAGATTCCTTTTTTGGGATGTGTGTGTGGGGTGGGGTTATGGCTCAGCAGTAGAGCGCTTGCCTCAGACATGCAAGTATCCTGGGTTCGATCCTCAGTACCACGTTAAAATAAAGTTATTGTGTCCAACTACAACTACAAAAAATAAGTATTAAAAAACCAGATTCCTCTTTTCAAGTCAAAGTCACTTTCCTGTAGCTTCTTTGTTACAAAACATTTCAAATATGAAGAAAAGTACAGATAATTCTCACAGTAGCTTAAAAATGTTCAATTCCCAGGAAGAAAAACATTAAATTTGTGACAGCATAGTTCCACATGAATGAAACTAAGAACAAGCAAAGCAGCTTTCAAATCTTTCAACATCTAAAAGGCTATTTCTAAAAAAGAAAAAAAAAAAAAAGAACTTTGATAATAGAACAGGGTAGAGGAGGTTTGAGAAAGATGAAAGAATTTATGCTTTCTCACCATGTAATCACTTGTCATCTCTTTAATATAGTTGTGTGTGGGAGAAGGGAAGTCTTTAAAAATAGCTTTTAAAGTTTATAAACACAAACTGATAGCTTGGAACGCTGCAATAAAATATCTCTGGTTTTGCATAAGAAAATGTGGTGTGAAGAACATAAAAAAATAAAGAGGCTCAGAAATACTCTAAATGATAAGTTAGAAGTTTACAGTGCCAGGAAGCAACAATTTAAATAGGTGAGTCTCTAGATATAAATATAAAACCCACACAATTTCAAATATTCAAGAGAAATTAAAACCACAACAAAAGGTTACAACAAAAATAAGAAATAGGAAGAAGAATTTCTGAAGAGGGGTGAGAATACAGGAATTTTATGCACATAAAAATTCCCAAATTAGCATAGGATAATAGATTCTGACTTAAAAATAATTACCCACGCATCATAGTTCATGTGTAGTGTTTAAAATAATGACTAGGATTGTTAAGAAATGCTAGGTCTGGGACCCAATTCAGAGATCAGTGAATGAAATTTTACTACATTAAAGATTCTGAGTATCACCCAAAGTCTTAATTATGGACTTCCCCGGCTTATATTTTAACTTACTCCGCATATATGACTAAGGACTTAAAAAAACATTTTACTTGTTTTTGCAATGTAATGGGAGACAGGACATCAAGAAAAGGCAGGTAGGCAGGTAAGCAAGTAGGGGGAATTCAACGTAAACATTTCATAATTCTTTGGAGGAAATGTGTTTGATAACAGTGCAACATTATTATACAAGGAGTGATCTATTTTAGGTGGAAATTAGTGAAATTCAAATAAACAAACAAAAAATGTTTCTTGGGTTGGGGATTGTAATTTAGTGGTAGAAAGTTTGCCCAAGCGTGGGAGAAGCCAGGGTTCGGATCAACCAGCAAGAAAAAAACAAAACAATATAAATAAATAAATAAAAACTTTCTTGAAAGAGCACTGTGTCTTGGAAAATATCATTTCTGTGCTAAGGTCAAAGGTGGGGCATAAATCAAAGTAGATCTGAACTCTTGAAGCAAGCTAACCTACACACTTGAACCAGTCCAGCTCCGCCCAGGCCAGAGCAGCAGGGCGTCTGAAACTACTAGGCCTCTAGTCCACCGAGCTCAGGTACCGGGACTGAGAGAGGTTCAAATGAACGCGGTCTCTCCAGTAGAGAGGCACTTTCTTCCTCGTCGGAATGTCTGGCGCCGGGAACAGTGGTGCTGGACAGAAAGGTAAAGCGCTGCCAGTAAGACCGCCGGGGCAGTGTCTGGCGCACCGGCCCGAAGTCCGGGGCAGCGCATAGCACAAGCCGCGGTACCTAGCTGCTCTCCTACTCGGTTCCGAGGAGGACCCGTGGGGGCGGGGACCGAGTGACCGAGACAACGCGTAAAGAACCGCCCCTGAGCGCCGTAGGATAACGAGAGCTGCCGGGCCGACGTTACCTCCACCCACTGGGCCGCAGCGTCCCCCTCAGCTGGGCGAACTTGTAGTCGTGCGTGCAGGCACTGCTGCAGAAGCGCCCGAGCCTGAGGCGTCCGGCAGCCGTCAGCCATGGCTCGAATCCGGGTTGCTGTCGTTGGGATTCAGGCCGCGCGCCGATTAGGCCCCGCCCCCGGGGAACTGGCTGGAACGGCGAGGGGGGCGGGGCGACGGAACAGCCCTTGCCTTCCGCGGCTCCGCCCCCTGGAAGACGAGGAAGGGGCTTTCGCTAGGGTGTCCCGGATGTGCAGGCTTCAAAAACAGCCCTAAGTCCCTCCGCAGAACCTATCCAACTCTGTAGAAGGCGCTCAGTGTATACTCTTAAACGACTGGATCTCTTTCCTTTACATCTTTTCAAGAAACATTTTCACTTCAGAAAGCTTAGGCTTCCAGATGTTGAAAAACTTTAAATCTGCTTAAGTCTTTATTATGCTTATTATGAAGATAAATAGAATAAATCAAATGAATCTCAAAGCAAGCAGAGATGGAACTAAAAGCTATAAATCTTTCAGGTTTTTTCGTACCTCAATCAATGAAACAATGTTACTTCCTCTATCAAGAATGCTGCCAAATCACTCTGATTCCACAGTTGCAAAAGGGTACTGTCATGCTATGTGAATATACATTTAAGTATCGATTCTTTAGGAAATATCCTTGATAGCAATATTCTTATCCGAGGAAATGTGGTTGTTAATAAGTTATTTAATCTGCTACTAATACAAAAATAAAACAACACATGATGTATTTATTAATTCTGTGATGCGTTTTCTGTAAGTACATGTTACAATGTAAATCAAAGTAAACAAAGGTTTGATTTTCTTTCCCACACAACACATTCCTTAAACTTGCATCAGATTAGCATTTATTTCTACAGGATTGGAGGGTTCAGACAAGAAATAATAGTGTTGCTCTGATGGCATTACCTAGGTCATTGATTTGGACCCAGTTGGCACAATATGCCTATACATTCGGGTCTGTTCTAGAAGATGACATCACTGACGGGTATTGCTATCCCTACAAAGCAGTGTGACTGAAGAAAATAATCCATGCATAATCAGTGGTCCTTTATGCACAAAATTGAAGCTGCTTTTTGCTTGTTATCCTGAAGGCTGCCTTAAGCTTTTAATAAAAACAAAAAAGCAAAATCTCAGATTGTCTCAACTGCTGAATTACAGAGCTTCCAACATTTGTTGATAATTACGCAGCACAGACACGTTGAATTGCTTAATGTCTGCACTTTTATATCATTAAAACTATTGAGTCTCTATTCTTACTCAATCTCAGACCCAGATTTTATATCTGGAAGGAAATTTACCTAGAGATTGCAGCCATGACCTAGAATAAGAGAGGACTTTTGTGTCTATTTACATACGGTTGCAGGAGATAGAAATCTATTGAAAATAACAAAAATGATGCCAAAAATCTTCCCACAAGGAGGGCCTGTAATAAATTGGAAGAATTTCCTGTGAATGAATGAAGTTTGGTTGGTAATGGTTAGATTTTCAAAAATCATCAACTGCTTTAAATCTTCCCATTGGATAAGAATCACTGGATGTTGTGGTAGGTAATGCAATAGTTTGTGACTCACTTATTCTTTCCTCCTACCGGCAGAGGGCAGTAGAGTAAGCACCCCAAAGCATGGCTTAAATGTTTTATTTTATGAAACCTACTCTCATTCATACAAGCAATAAAATAGTAAAATGTAAATAAAAACAAAGTACTGGAAGTAAAGAAAGTCGGATTATGTCAAGTTCCTGACTGGAGTACTTATATAATATGTAGCAAAGTTGTCATAGATGTGTGTCTTTAATTTTCTTCATAAAGCAGTTATATCTATCATATGTAATGAAGGTGGAGCTGTTTGTACAGTTTGTTTCAAGTTAGAAGAAAAGGCAAAGCATAGCTTTCAATTGGCATTAGAAGAGATTGTAGTTCACTGGAACATAAGAGAGCTTTGCCTTGTGGGTATATGAGAAATCACTGTCTGAGCAGGAATAATTCCCAATAGTTACAATGTTGATGGAGGAGTATATGGGCAGTGGAATTAGTTGTGGACACATTTAGGCCCTCTGGGATGGCATAATAATTGATTCAGAATTATTTTTTGTTCAAGTTGGCCACTCAAAATTCTAATATTCAAAAGTATCTTGAGGCACTGGGATGTAGCTCAGTGGTAAAGCACTTGCCTAGCATATGAAAGGCCCAGAACCAGGAACAAACAACAAAGCATTATATTTCACCAACATGCAAAGTTTGAGAACCACTTCAAAAAGATCCTTTATAGTTGACACCAAGCTTTGGATTGTAAAGAGAAAATAATGGAGAAGGGAAATATAATATGTTTCATAGTTCTCTGGTTAAACAGATTTTTTTCCTAAGATTTATCTCTAAAATGAGCTTCTTACCTGAGACTTTATATGTGGGTATGTTAATAAGTAGAAGTGCAACTGTAAGAGGTAGATGTTTTATTTTAGGAAAGGCTGGATGAAATCTAGCCTCCTTTTTCAAAGCCCTGAGACTTATTTTTGTTTTTCAGTGCTTAGGAAGATAATTAGGTTCTGAGAAATTGGTTCACATCAACAAAAATGCACATGAGATTGGGGTAGACCCAGAATACTAATTTAGTTATGATAATAAGAAGAATTTCCATGACATGGAGTGGAATTTCTCACAGAGGGCATGATTGGCATATTTCTTCTATAGTTAACTTAGTATAAGAAAAGCTTAAAGCCTATATAAATAGCATATTTTTTGTGTAGGCAGAATAACAAAAATATCAGAATGTGGCTTTGTGAATGGAGTCAGAACAAAAAGGGTGAGAAAAACTGAATTTCTGTACTAACCGCTGGAAACAGTAAAAAAAAATATAGTGCACCATGTTCCTATATCAAATGTGATATTAGCGTTTCTAAGGCAGTTTCTTAAATTGTCCCTTGACAAAATCAGAATCCATTAAAACAACCTAAAACACCTCAGAGGTATTATGGACCCAAAGTACTGACTTGACAGTCATTCTACTAAAGATCAGTGCATAGCCTTAGGATATCGCACCCGAACCTAATAAATTTCACCTGGGCTTTTTGAGAAGAGTTGAACAATGGGACAATTCAAGGTTTAGTTCCTGTCAAGAGCTTGCAGGATAGATATTCTTTATTACTGACCCAAGACACTATAGGCTAGAGATCAAAAGAGCAAATGGTGAGGTTATACTTTTTATTGAAAAGTGAAAGGCCAAATTAGAACTTTCATTTGGATGAATAGCTAGCTATGCTAGTTCTACACACATGCGGATGGATTCAAGGATATCTGAAGAAGCAATTCTGTGTCCTCTAAAATATACATATGAGAATTAGGTTCCAAGCAGAAATAATTTTGACTTGGGAAAGTGTCAAAGCAGCTATCCTGAGAGGAAACAGATGGCATAGTTCAAAGGGGTGGCTAAAGAGAGACGAAGGAAGGAACCATTAAGCAGGTTTGTTAAAGGTTAAGGTAAATGACCAAGGGTTAGTGAAAGACCCAGGAGTAGCAAAGAACAGGAAGTGTTTTCCATTCTGAAGGGGTAAGAAGAAGGAACAGTGTTCTTCTGGAACCAGCAAGAGTTGTAGCTAGAGGAAAGAAACTTAACAGGACCTGTGGCCTTCCACAGAGAAATGCAATCCCTAATATCTTTCCATGGCCAGAGAAAAATGTCAATGCTTATCATATATCTTGCAGGATTATCTAGTTGCAAAATCTAACTCTCATCTCTGTATACCCAATTCTTTAATTACAAAGGATTATTTTGTGAAACAATGAAATTTTGGAAGACATCCGTAAAGAAAAATTATTTTAGTTTAAGAATACAGGACAATTATCTATTAAGTTTAATCAGATAATGCTAACAAAACTATATTTATAAAAGTGAAATTAAGTTTCTGTCTGTTATTATATCACATCAACATCACAGGGAATATTTGAGGTAATGCGATTTGGCCCATGCAGATTTCACTTTGTGTGGAGGGGTACCCAATCCGTTAACCAACTCTTTACCAGGGGTATCTCAAGCCAAAGTGTGAAAAGTCCATGTGAATTCTACTTTCAGACATTTGCCACATGTATTAAGACTGTGTAGAAAAAGGAAACAAAGAGATTTATTTTCTTTATTTTTTGGCACTGCTGGGGATCAAATCCAGAGTCTGGCACATAAACATATGTATATATATGTGTGATTTGGACCATTGGTCTTGGACTTTTGATTTCACACTCTTATTTGAAATCTGGCTTTTTTTTTTTTTTTTTAGGCTGGGAGTTTAGCTCAGTGGTAGAGCACTTGACTAGTATGTGCCAGATCCTGGGTTTTTATTTTATAATAGATTTGGATTTATAGGAAAGTTTGCAAATCTTAGTACATATGTCCCTCACCTAGTTTCCCAACTTTAGACCAAATTTTAACACTTCAAATTACTGTTACATCTGTCACAACTGTAGAATGAGCACTCAGGACTTTGACTCTATACTTTATTCAGATTTTGTTAGTTTTCCCTTAAATTCCTTTTCTGGATCTCACCCAGGATGTCATATTACCTGTAGTTATTGTGTTTCTCTACGTTGTGACAGTTTCTCAGCGTTTAGTTGTTTTTGATGACCTTTGCTCCTGGTTTTGAGAAACATGGGTCAGGTATATTACAGGATACCCCTCTATTCGAATTGGATATTTCCCCCTAAATAAAGAGTTATGGGGTTTTAGAGAAAGAGAACAGAGGTGAAGTGTCATTGTTATCACATCATATCAAGGGTACACGCTGTCAACTCTTATTGCAGGCGATGGTAATCCTGATCATCTGAATGGAGAAGAGTTTGCCAGGTTTCTCCACTATACAGTCATGTCCCTTCCCTCTAGTGCTTTACTCTTTGGAAGCAAATCACCAAGCATAACCCATACCCAGGACATGGGGAATTAAGATCTACCTCCTTTGGTGGGGAATATCTATGTAAATTATTTAGAATTCTTCTCATACAGGAGATCTGTTTTGAACTGTTTGTACTCTATTATTGGTATTCTCCTTATTGGGTTAGATATTAATGGAAAAAGATTCTTTAAAATTGTTTTTTAGTTGTAGATG